GTTTTCCTGCAACAGGGGAAAACCACCTTGCTGATCCCCTAAGGCAATTGAATACTTCCTGGACCAACAACCTCGGGTGTTTAATTCTTATAGGTATTATTAAGTAGTTATAACATGATCTTGTCGAAACACATCTAGCAGAAGAATGCTTCACTTGTGTTAGTGGGGAAGATTTACCACCTTACAGGTAGCTAATGGTGTCAGTGGGAAACTTTTCTGAGAGGCAGACATTGCTCAAGGAACCCCTAGCAATCTCTGAAGGAACCCTAGGATTCTATGGAACTCTCGTTGAGAAACCCTGGTCTACAGAGTCAGCAAAAACTCTCTCTATTGGAAACCCATTGTGCATTTTCACATCTCTTACTGTAAAGAAGGCTTTCTGTAAGAAGTGGTTGTTAAACCTTTTTGTCTTGAGGCGCAAATTTGTTTTCTTTGTTTCTTTTTGCCAGGGTGTTTTAACTTCTTGCCGACCAGCCACTGTAGAAATACGGTGGCAGGTCGGCACGACTGGGCAAAACCACGTTTTAAAAACATGCGTTTGCAAAACAGGTAGGGGGCGCGCGCCTGCCCTACCCGTCGATCGCGGCCGCGGGTGTCAGTCACCGGGTCATTGCCAGCCATTACCGGCCGTGTCCCGCCGATTAGTGGCAATCACTGACAGAGCAGGGCTGCAGTAGCTCTGCTTTCTGTCAGTCCCTTGTCAGCTCCTGACTTGCTGATCCGGAGAGAAGAATTTATCTCTCCGAATCAGCGTGTTCCCGTGCAGTACACACCCTGTCCCCTAGTAAAACACTCCCCTCACACAGTTAACCCTTTCAGTAAATAAAAAAGTTAACCCCTTCCTCCCTAGTGCCATTAGTACAGTGTCAGTGGTTTTTTGCACTGATCACTGTATTGGTGTCACGGGGGATGTCAGTGACCCCAAGTCAGTTCCCACCCAGTGTCAGAATGTCCGCCGCAGTCCTGCCATAAGTCGCTGATCGCCACCATAAGTCACTGATCGCCGCCATAAGTCGCTGATCGCCGCCATTATTAGTATAAAAAAAATTAGAAATCCCAGTATCTTTCCCGCCATTTGTAAATGCTATAACTTTCACGTAAACCAATTAATTTACACAAATTGTTTTTTTTTTTTTAGCAAAGACATGTCGCAGAATACATTTTGGCAGAAATGTATGACTAAATTTGATTCTTACATTTTTTTTTACTGGATATGTTTTATAGCAAAAAGTCCAAAATATCGTTTTTTTTTTCCTCAAAATTGTCAGCATTTTTTTTTTTTATAGCGTAAAAAATAAAAATCGCACAGGCGATCAAATACCACCGAAAGAAAGCTCAATTTGTGGGAAAAAAAGGATGTAAATTTCATTTATGTACCATATTGCATGACCGCGCAATTGTCCGTTAAACTAGCGCAGCGCTGTATAGCAAAAAAATGGCGTAAATTGCAGTATCTATACCATAGTTTGTAGACGCTATAACTTTCACACAAAGCAATCAATATAAACTTATTGGGATTTTTTTTACCAAAAACATGTAGCAGAATACATTTTGGCCTAAATTTATAACCAACTTTGAGTTTATTATATATTTTTTATAGCTGAAAGTAAAAAATATAGTTTTTCTTCAAAATGTTTGGTATTTTTTTGTTTATAGTGTGAAAAATAAAAAGCGCACAGGTGATCAAATACCACCGAAAGAAATCGTAAATTTCATTTGGGTGCAGCATTGCATGACCGCGCAATTATCAGTTGAATTAGTGCAGTACCGAGTAGCAAAAAGGGGCCTGGTCATTAAGGGGGGTAAATCCTCAGGAGGGCAAGTGGTTAATTCACACCTGTGAGCTCTGGCAGGCTTTAGGGTGCTTATACGTGCACTTATGCAGGCCATAGGGAGAAAACCGGCATGTTTTTTAACAATAAACAAAAAATCGGTCCTTCAATAGGCCGACGTTACCACCAACAGTAAAAAAAAATCAGCAGATTTTATTACCGTCTACGGCCCGGCATTTAATTACTTCTGTCCCCGCAAAGAGCCCCGCTATTATATTTGACATGAAAAAGTATTGCGGTTGCAACATTGTATCTATTTGTATCCATTTTGGATACAAATAGATACATTGTTGTAACCGCAATACTTTTTCATGTCAAATATAATAGCGGACTGGAATTCTTCTTCTTTCTCTTCTTCTTCTTCTTTCTCTTCTTCTTCTTCTTCTTTCTCTTCTGTCTCTTTTTCTTTCTCTTCTTCTTCTTTCTCTTCTCTTCTTTTTCTGCTTCTTCTTTTTTTTCTTCTCTTCTTTTTTGCTTCTTCTTTTTTTCTTTTTATTTTTCTGCTTCTTTTTCTTCTTTCTTCTTTTCCCTTCTTCTTTCTTCTTCTTCTTCTTCTTTTCTTCTTCTTTTTTATTTTTTTTCTTCTTTTTATTTTTTTTTTTATTTTTCTTTTTTTTATTTTTCTTCTTCTTCCTCTTCTTCTTTCGCTTCTTCTTTCTCTTCTTTTTCCTCTTCTTCTTCTTCCCCCTCTTCCTCCTCCTCCTCTTCCTCCTCTTCTTCTTCCTCTTCCATCTGCTCATGCGCAGATTTTTTATCGGTAAAAAGATCGGCTGATTTGCCCATCATTGCCGCGTAAATTGGCTGATTTTTTTCCAACTTTACCGATCAAAAAAATCTGACAAAATCCAGAAAAAAAAAACGGCCGACCAATTAACCCATTAACTGTGCGAAAATTAGCCGATTTTTTTTTTTTGGCCGAAAAATCGGCCGATTTTCGACCTGTATATCGCCTGCATAAATTAACTTCCAGAGCAGCCTGGGACCCTAAAAACCTTTATCATTGATTAGAACTGTCATGGTTGTGCTATGGCTCACTCCTTTCTATTTCCCCTGTTGGCCTGAAATTATGATGGGTGGCGTTAAAAATCAATAAGGAGCTGAGTGCAGCAGGAAGAGAGCAGTCAAAGTGAAATCATGACTGCTCTGATCACAGCACACCTTTCATGAAATATATGTGGCATTGCTGCTGTACCCATATAAAAATACAGGTTCCCTAGCTGTCATTCTGATCCAGTAGCTTGTTACTGGCCTAGAAGACGTTTGCAGGAGTTCTAACTCCATTGTGGCTTTACTTGCATTCCTGTTCTGGATCAGTGGCTCAGAAAGTATTGAAGCCAGGCTTACAAGCATTTTTAGATAAGCATTGGCAGCCTCAGTATTTCCTTTTGCACAGAATTTATTAGAGTGACCCTACATAATATATAGCATTGACATACAGATATATGGAGACACTTCCCTTGGCAACCAGATTACTTTTTTTATGTGAATAAAAGGTATACTGTGTTTTGCCCATGTCACACACTGTTGCTTTGTAGCAGCTACAGGCTCACTCTGCTTAGTGCTTTTGTTGGTAGGGAAAAAAATTAAGTTCAGGTGAACGGAATGTCTGTGTTGCTAAAATACCAAGCGATTTGTAGCTCAGATGCTGAACGATTATATTTTTGCAACTTTTGGAACTATTACCGACAGCCAGCTTCAGTTGCTACTAATGTAATTCAATGCAACTGCTGATGATCATGGCAAATATGAGGATTTGTAGCTCCATAGATAAGCATTGTAGTCAGTTACAGAAGCAATTCTGTATCAAGTTGCAAATTGTCAGCTAAATTAAGCTGAGATTTGCAGTTTCTACAGAGTTGCTAGTCTGACATGGGCCTTATGGTCACCAGTTCCAAAACAACAACATCCCATCTACCAGTTTTTTATACACTGATCACTGTGTAACCTAGATTGTCACATCATGTTTCAGAAATCAGCCCAGAAACTAGCTCAGCTACCTGGTTAAAAAAAACTGAAATTAAAGCTGAACTTCAGCAAAAATGTAAAACTACCTTTGAAAAGGAGCTCCCCCACACTGCAAGTGTTGAATGCATGTTTTTGTCTTGGACAATTATAAATTTAGTTTCCACTTACCTTCTCCCTCCTGCAGGCTTTCTTCTCTCCATGCAAGCTGTGCCTCAAAGCTTCTTCTCTTTGATACTCTATCTGGCTGTCACATACAGACATCATCATGTACAATGTAGGGCCAGCAGTCCTGCATTTTAAGTGAGTCGCCAAGGACCTGTCCACAAGCTGGAGTGCTGGAGGGAAGAGTTGATGGCTGGCTGCTAGGGAAACATGGATACGACAAGTGTAAACGGAATTTAAAGTTACCCTAGATGAGCATTTAACCCTTGCAGTGTGGAGATGTCCACTCTAAAGTTAGTTTCAAATGTATTTATTTATAACAGGTACTTATATTGCGCCATCAATTTACACAGCGCTTTTACATTCAATATATTTCCAAAAGTATTGGGGATGCCTGCCTTTACATGAACTTTAATGGCATCCCAGTCTTAGTCCGTAAGCTTCAATATTGAGTTGGCCCACGCTTTGCAACTATAACAGCTTTAACTCTTCTGGGAAGGCCGTCCACAAGGTTTAGGAGTGTGTCTATGGGAATGTTTGACCATTCTTCCAGAAGCGCATTTGTGAGGTCAGGCACTGATGTTGGATGAGAAGGCCTGGCTCACAGTCTCCATTCTAATTCATCCTAAAGGTGCTCTGTTGGGCTGAGGTCAGGACTCTGTACAGGTCGGTCAAGTTCCCCCACCCCAGGCTCGCTCATCCACGTCTTTATGGACTTTGCTTTGTGCATTGGTGCGCAGTCATGTTGGAACAGGAAGGGCCCATCCCCAAACTGTTTCCACAAAGTTGGGATCATGAAATTGTCCAAAATGTCTTGGTATGCTGAAACCTTAAGAGTTCCCTTCACTGGAACTAGGGGGCCAAGCCCAACCCCTGAAAAACAGTCCCACGCCATAATCCCCCCTCCACCAAACTTTACACTTGGCACAATGCAGTCAGGCAAGTACCATTCTCCTGGCAACTGCCAAACCCAGACATGTCCATCGGATTGCCAGACATAGGCGTTTGATCCGTCACTCCAGAGAACACGTCTCCACTGCTCTAGAGTCCAGTGGCAGCGTGCTTTACGCCACTGCATCTGACGCTTTGCATTTCACTTCTTGATGTAAGGCTTGGATGCAGCTGCTCGGCCATGGAAACCCATTTCATGAAGCTCTCTATGCACTGTTGTGCTAATCTGAACGCCATACGAAGTTTGGAGATCTTTAGCTATTGACTCTGCAGACAGTTTGCGATCTCTGCGCACTGTGCGCCTCACCATGAGCTGACCCCGCTCTGTCATTTTATGTGGCCTACCACTTTGTGGCTGAGTTAATGTTGTTCCCAGTTGCTTCCACTTTGTTATAATACCGCTAACAGGTGACTGTGGAATATTTAGTAGCAAGGAAATTTCATAGATGTACTTATTGCACAGGTGACAACCTATCACAGTACTATGCCTGAATTCACTGATCTCCTCAGAGACCCATTCTTTCACAAATGTTTGTAGAAGCAGTCTGCATGCCTATGTGCTTGACTTTATACATCTGCGGCCATGAAGGTGATTGAAAACTCCTGAATCCAATGATTTGGAGGGGTGTCCTAATACTTTTGGCAATATAGTGTACATATGTATTGTACAATCACATCAGTTCCTAACGCTCAAGGAACGTATAAATCAAGGTCCCTAACTCACATTCATACATACACATACCAGGGCTAATTTATACAGGATCCAGCTAACCTACTAGCATGTCTTTGGAGTGTGGGAAGAAACTGCAGTACCCGGAGGAAACCCATGCAGGCACAGGGAGAACATGTAAACTCCAGGCTGGTGGTGCCATGGTTGGGATTCACCCTAGTACTACCAGGCAGAAGTGCTAACCATTTAACTGCTTCCTGTCCGTCCTATTGCAGAAATGCTGCTAAAGGGCGGCAAAATCACATATACCCGTGCCGCCATTCGCCAGCACCTGGTGATTTCCAAAGATCTCTGACAGGAAGGAGGACTGTTTTGTTTACTAACAGTTCTCCTGTCTGTCAGGTCGGGCACACTGCTCCGGAACAGTGTGATTACAGTGAAGCCCACAGACAGGCCCCCTAGTAAAACACTTCCTGCACACAGTTAACCCTTTGATTGCCACTCATGTTAACTCCTTCCTGCCCAGTGCCATTAGTACAGTGTTTGTTTGTTTTTTTATAGCTTTTGATAGAGTGGAGATGGATTGGAACACATCAGTGTTTATTGCTATCTGTGCTGGTTAGGAAGATTTACCCTCCTTGTTTGTCCTGGTTACTTTTATCACTGAGAGTGAAGTAAATCCCAAATTTTGGGTTGTCATCAGAACTGAAAGAGAGCGGAAATCTTCCAATGGCGGCACTAATTGTGGTATAACCTGCGCAGAGGACTGATCAATTAGACTGGCTGCTGCTAGCAAATCACAAATGTGTACCGGTGAACAAATGTGTGAGTGCAAACATAAATATTGCTGTGCTGCCTCTCCCAAAAACTATTTTAATTAATACAGCCCCGTGGGCTGGCAATTATATCCTCCTCCCCAGTGACTAAATCCCAAATAAGTAAATACAAGGTGCTTAAATGACAATAGTGCTAAACATAGCACATATACAATGCCATGAAACTGTGTATACAGCGAAATTGTATAAAACTATATGTATGTGTATGTATATATAAACTTCCAATAATTGTGCAAACATATAATTACATTTTTTTTAAACTTTATATGTTTGCACAATTATTGGGACTTTATATATATAATTGTATTTACTTATTGGTTTATTTGGGATTTAGTGGCTGGGGAGGAGGGATATAATTGCCAGCCCATGGGGCATTATAGCACATGCACCTTTGTGGGGACTCTTTGTGTAGTATTGATTTAATTAATTAATTTAAATTAATTATTTAAAGTAGTTTTTGGGAGAGGCAGCGCAGCACTAGTTCTGGTGACTACCAAGCATTCCCTCACTTTGGAGGGATTTCCATTCACTTCCTGTTTTGGCTATGGGAAAGAAAGTGAAGAAAAGTCTTCCCAATTAGACAAAGATGGCAAAAAAAAATACCTGATAGAGAATATATTGGCCAAAGTTTTTTTTTCCTTTTGGCTACTTTCACACTGATCCAAATGCTTATGCGTTTTGCCATGTTTTTACCGTGTTTGTGGTGCATGTTTTACAGGACATATGACTCTAAAACTGCACACAAAACGCAACGCAGGTGCGTTTTTGATGCATTTGTTCTGCGGTTTTTATTGATATCAGTGGGGAGGTGCATTTCTGGTGTTTTTTATCCCACCAAACCTGCAACAAAAATGCCGCTTGAAGAGCTTTAAAAAAGCAAACCGGACCCGCAATGGATCAGTATGAAAAGTAGCACTGGAATACATGGTAACACTTTTTTTCTGTTTTTTTTTTTTTAACGCAAAAGTGGAAGTGAAATGGATCAATGTGAAAGCAGCCTTAGATCTACTTTAGGTCACCTAAAACATTATGCTGTTAAGCATATCTACTGTAGCCCCCTCACACCCATACATACAGGTGAAACTCGAAAAATTAGAATATCATGCAAACGTTCATTTATTTCAGTAATGCAACTTAAAAAGGTGAAACTAATATATGAAGTAGACTCATTACATGCAAAGCAAGATATTTCAAGCCGTGATTTGTCATAATTGTGATGATTATGGCTTACAGCTCATGAAAACCCCAAATCCACAATCTCAGAAAATTAGAATATTGTGAAAAGGTGCAATATTCTAGGCTCAAAGTGTCCCACTCTAATCAGCTAATTAAGCCAAAACACCTGCAAAGGGTTCCTGAGCCTTTAAATGGTCTCTCAGTCTGGTTCAGTAGGAATCACAATCATGGGAAAGACTGCTGACCAACAGTTGTGCAGAAAACCATCATTGACACCCTCCATAAGGAGGGAAAGCCTCAAAAGGTAATTGCAAAAGAAGTTGGATGTTCCCAAAGTGCTGTATCAAAGCACATTAATAGAAAGTTATGTGGAAGGGAAAAGTGTGGAAGAAAAAAGGTGCACAAGCAGCAGGGATGACCGCAGCCTGGAGAGGAAAGGCCATTCAAAAGTGTTGGGGACTTTCACAAGGAGTGGACTGAGGCTGGAGTCAGTGCATCAAGAGCCACCACACACAGACGGATCCTGGACATGGGCTTCTAATGTCGTATTCCTCTCGTCAAGCCGCTTTTGAACTACAAACATCAGAAGCATCTTACCTGGGCTAAAGAAAAACAGACCTGGTCTGTTGCTTAGTGGTCCAAAGTCCTCTTTTCTGATGAAAGCAACTTTTGCATCTCATTTGGATACCAGGGACCCAGAGTATGGAGGAAGAATGGAGAGGCACACACTGCAGGTTGCTTGAAGTCCAGTGTGAAGTTTCCACAGTCTGTGTTGATTTGGGGAGCCATGTCATCTGCTGGTGTTGGTCCACTGTGCTTCATTAAGTCCAGGGTCAATGCAGCCATCTACCAGGAGATTTTGGAGCACTTCATGCTTCCTTCCGCAGATGAGCTTTATGGGGATGCTGACTTAATTTTCCAGCAGGACTTGGCACCTGCCCACACTGCCAAAAGCACCAAAACCTGGTTCAATGACCGTGGGATTACTGTGCTTGATTGGCCAGCAAACTTGCCTGGCCTGACCTGAACCCCATAGAGAATCTATGGGGCATTGCCAAGAGAAAGATGAGAGCCATGAGACCGAACAATGCAGACGAGCTGAAGGCCGCTATTGAAGCATCCTGGTCTTCCATAACACCTCAGCAGTGCCACAGGCTGATAGTTTCCATGCCACGCCATGTTGAGGCAGTAATTGCTGCAAAAGGGGCCCCAACCAAGTACTGAGTACATATGCATGCTTATACTTTTCAGAGGTCCGATATTGTTCTATGTACAATCCTTGTTTTATTGATTACATGTAATATTCTAATTTTCTGAGATTGTGGATTTGGGGTTTTCATGAGCTGTAAGCCATAATCATCACAATTATGACAAATCACAGCTTGAACTATCTTGTTTTGCATGTAATGAGTCTATCTCATATATTAGTTTCACCTTTTAAGTTGTATTACTGAAATAAATGAACTTTTGCACCATATTCTAATTTTTCGAGTTTCACCTGTAATGATATTGGACTGCTGTCAGTTGTCAGGGTGAATTTCTAGATTGTGTGTGATGTAAAGACCATTGCTTTGTAGACCTTCAGAATTTCATAACACTTCTCCAAAGTATTGTTTATTGCTAACGCATAGCTAAATGTGATTAGGGAGCTTAATTCCTCTAACATGCCCAGCTAAACATGTCCCTACCTGTTATACGTGTAAATTGAAAACAGTTAAAACTTTTTTTCCCTGTGAATTTTTAGTTCTGTTACTAGTTTGCAAGAAAAAGTTACAATTAGAACTGTGCTTTTCATTTTAATAATGCACACATAGAACTTTATTATTGTTAAACTCCAGTAAAGGCTCCTGTATGAAAGTCTAAAATCCAGTTACTAAGATAAGCCTCATACAGTAAACAGGTTGCTTTACCTTCCCTGACAGAACTAAGTCTTCCTTTATTTGTGTTTCTTGTGCTTGTAGTGGACACTACATATCACAGTGGTGATGGTGGTGGTGGTGGTTGGGGGGGGGGGAGGTTAGGTTTCAGCAACAGAGGTAGTCAGAAAGCAGTAGACAGGACTAGGTATGGCGAGGTGCTAACTGATCAGCTACAAGCATGTGAATCAACAGTGACAATGCTGATAGCCACACTCCTTGCAATATTTTTTCATTCCACTGTAGAGCAAACAGGCACAGTCTACATGAGAGTGGCAATGCTGCTTCAACTCCAGCAGGGTTGCCACGCCATCACAGGAAGCTGCATTAGATGGACTTCCCTGGCAGGATCAACTGAGGGGAGTAAGAGAAAACTAAGTGCAGATACACTTAGGCTCGGTTCACACTAATGCAAATTAGTGGTTTCCTCCAGGTACTCCGGTTTCCTCTCAGACTCCAAAGACATGCTGGTAGGTTAATTGGATCCTGTCTAAATTGTCCCTAGTATGTGTATATATGAATGTGAGTTAGGGACCTTAGATTGTACACCCCTTGAGGGTTAGGGACTGGTGTGAATGTACAATATATATGTAAAGCGCTGCGTATTTTTTTTTGTTCTAAAAACAATATAATATTAACCAATTCCAAAACATTCATGAAACCTCATTCCCACCCCCTACCCTCCCCGATCCACCCTTCCCAATCCTTATCCCTGTCCATTTAGATCTTCCTTATTTCTTCTCTAAGGCTGTCTACATCACTCATTCAGAGCTATAAGTTCTATTCCACCAATACTACTTTACCAGCTAATCATTTTCTTTCTCCATCTCGACTTCCGGGGCTCCCATTATCTCATACTATTTTTCTGAGGCCTTAAAAGCATCCCACTTACTCCAGTCCTTTCTACATTTTTCCAGTCTATCTTCATCTATATGGAATAACTCCTCCATCCGGTATATATATTCTATCCTGTTGATCCATTCTCTCATCCTTGGGGGGGTCCCGTGCCTTCCATAATTTAGGGAATAAACCTTTAGTGGCGCTAATTAAGTGGTATAATAAACTGCCTTTAAACTTTTTTGCTAATACCTCTGTAAGTGCTGCGTAAATTGAAGGCACTATATAAGTCTCCTAGATTGTAAGCTCAAAAGAGCAGGGCCCTTGACCCCTCGTGTTTTGTTTTGTTACTGTATTGTCTCATGTTCTGTCCCCCACTATAATGTACAGCGCTGAGCATACCTTTTAGTGCCATATAAATACTGTATAATAATATAAGTACCTGTAATAAATAATAAAATAAGTCGCATCCATTTATTTCAATGGCATATGCTCCAATCTATGCAACAGCGTCTTTAAAAAAGGTTCCTGCTCTACTTTGATATGACTTTGTTATGACTTGAGTGCCATAAAGTCGTACTCCAAAATCGCACTGGAAATCATGTGAACAGTGCCCTATAATTAGATGCTGCAGCAGATATTTTTATTTTAATGGGAAGCCATAGTTCTTCATTAACAAATATTTCTACTTGACTGCCAAAACCTTTGAAAATGTCCTGAGTGTTGTGATTGAATTTTGAAAGGCTTCCATATCCCTATGATCTACATTGTCTACTGTTTAAAAATATCTGTCCTCAGTAAAGGTTTGAAAGTAAAATAAGGCATGGTATTGGTTGCTATTGGAAACAAGAAATTCCTGCTAGCGCAAAAAAGGAACAATGCATATAGAGATTTACATTTACAAACAAAATCTAATCGAAAAGGCAGCAAGCCTATTCAGAGATCACAGAAGAACAATATGGGTTCATTAAGCCACTCAAGAAAAGAAAAGGAAAAGGACTCAAGCAGATTTGTTCTTTCATTGTTTTACAGTAAAAGATGATTGGTTGGTCTGTAGTTCTTTTATTATTCAAGTTTTTAAATGACTTGGCTTCACTGTGTTAAAGTGGCTGTATAAAGTAAGTACTATTCATAGCCCTATTCATAGCTGTTGTCCAATCCTCCTTGGAAAAAGCAGTGGCATCTTGCACACAGCTCACCTTTCTGCAACATCTTGGCTGCACTAGTGACAGTGTCTAGTTCTGTTCATTTGGAATAATGGAGCTGTCATTCAGATACAGAGCAAGTGAGTGAGTGAGCATTGGCCTCCAAAAGGAAAAATTCCCAGGACTTTTCTGACTGCCAGAATGGTAGTTGCACCTACTTGCATTGTGTCTCAGTGACTTGCTCTATTCCTCTGTAGAAATTAATGAAGTCTGTGGTTCATGCAGGAGGCCCATTTAGCTACTGAGGAATTATAAAGAGGTAAACTTGTCAGAGTGAGAGTGTTTTAGCAGAAGGAAAGGCTCCCCCTCAAGTCGCTAATAACCACAATAGTAGAAATTCTGTATAGTTCACAAATTTTAAATATGCTCATGGCGACTAGAAATTGTGTCCTGGTGCCTGGGTTCACACGCTGTGTTCCATTGACTTCAGTGCAAAATCGAGTCCCCTTGACTTCATTGCAAAATCGTGTCCCATTGACCTTAATGCAAAATTGAGTCCCCTTGACTTCAATGCAAAATCGTATCCCATTGTTTTTCAATGCAGGAATTCCTCCCATTGACTTAAATACAGAAATGCTTCCCATTGACTTCAATGCAGAAATGCCTCCCATAGACTTCAATGTAAAATTGCCTTTCTTTGACTTCAATACAAAGTCTCCTGTCAGTAGCAGTCCTATGTGATTGTGAATCTCTGCATGCCACTCTGCTCTATCACTTGCAAGTCTGGAATGCACTACTTCAAACTCACACAGGACCCTTTTCGTAATAACATTCAACATGCAGTGCGAGTGGATCGCATCTGTGTGAACCACCTCAGTAGCCTGTCATGCGAATCTGTTCCTCTGTCCTCCCTCTCCCTAAACTTGTCACTACCAGAAGTGACGTACCTAGCTGATGGTGCTGATGGCTTGGTGGGATGGGGCTGCGGTGGAGCTGGGCACTCTGCTGATTTTATTACCCAGAGTCTGACAACGGTTTACAAAAGTGCCTGTGAGCTGCCACATTCAGCTCAACAGGCAGATAGTTTTCAGAACAGAACAGGGGATTGCTGATTGTCTGGGTTAGACTACTGTTTCTATTCTAGACAATCAGCAATTCTGAAAATGCATAATTATAAGCTATTTGACATACTAATCTTTGGCAAATTTTGCTTTTTGAGTGGAATTCCACTTTAACGATTCTAATTGTGACATTTTCAATGCTTACCTTCCTTTGTAATATAGACCATTCTTCCGGTGACCTGCCAATTGCTGCTAACTTTCTGTGACTGATGGTGCGCTTTATAAAAAGTAATATGTACGGTATGTGACTTTCCACACAAAGTTGCAGAGATGTGTTGCTCAGATGTTCTAATTTAATCATACTTCACTAATTAATACATTTTTGGAATATTACCTTAATGAGCTAAATGTGGTGTACCATTGTTTTGATAACTTTTCCCTTTCACATCTAAACTACTATTATGAATCGTATATTTTTAGGAAAAACCTGTTATGTGATTATAATTACAGGGTCTAAAACTAGTAGTTCAATTATGGGTAGATGCCAAGAGGTCGAGTCACCCACCAGTTTCCTATATATCTCTAAAGAAAACTTTTGGCTTCCTTTTTTGTTTACCTTTGTTTTTAATCTTTTTTTTTTTTTTTTACCCACCTCAATACTGGCATTTTACACTCCCTTCCTTTTCAGACCATTTTCAGTTTTCAGTACTTTGATATTTTGGCTGACAACTACTCAGTCATGAAATAGTGTATACAAATGAAAATTCTGAGATAGAGCTTTCTTTTGGTGATATTTGATAACCACTGTTTTTTTTGTAATTTTTACTAATAAAGGAAAAAAAAAAAAAAAACTTTTGAAAAACATTGGTTTCCCTTTCTTTATGTTATAAAAGATATTAAATGAAAATGCCAGAACAGTACAGATACCCCCAAAATGACCTCTTTTTAAAAAGTAGACACCTCAAAAACTAATGCTTGTCTTGAGGTTGTCACATACTTGACATTGTCATTCTAATTAATGCTTCAGTGATCAATGAGAAGCCAGACTAACCACAGAGAAAATGGGAAGATGTAAATGAGGAGTTGGCCAGACCTGAATTAGGGTGCAGGCAGACACTTATTAGCTCTGCCTGGCTCATTTACTATAAGGGGTTAAACCATGGGCATTCTTTGGTTTCAAGAACAGTAATTTTACCATGGGCTAAAGTGTATGATTATATATTCAAGTAGAACTATAGGCAAAACTTTTTTAATTTTGGATAGAGTAAGGGACAGTCATAACAACTGTCAGTTTATTTTTTTGCCATCTGTGTTCCATTAGAACTCCCTTCACTTCCTGTTCCATAGCCAAAACAGGAAGTGAGAGGGAAATACCTGCAAATTAAGGGAATCCCTAGGGGCCCCCAAGTCACCAGAACTACTGTCCCCATTGGAAGATTTCCCCTCTTACTTTTCTGGGGACAACCCAAATATTGGGATTTTCTAGTATCCCCTTCATTGATAATGGTAAACAGGACAAATAGGATGAATCTCCCTAATGGGGGCATGGACAACAGTAAAAACTGACAGGGGTTCTAATCCATCTCCACTCTGTCCAAAACTTAAAAAAAAAAGTTTTGCCTTTAGTTGTATTTTAACCTTTAGGGGTTTATTTACGAAAAGCCTTGTCTTTACCTGAACTTTTGTTCACTTCAAGAACAAACACAGCAAGTGTTTGAAAATGAAACCAGTGATCACTAATACTTAGAATTTGATATTTCATTTTATTTTTTAGGATGAAATGGCTGAACTTTTGATGGAATGTGAGGAGGAAGAACTTGAACCGTGGCAACAACAAGAAAAAGATAATGAAGAAGATGAAGACGATGATGAACCTATCTTTGTTCGTGAAATTAGTGGTTCAAACACCACCAACACAGGTAAGATTCATTTTGACAAAATAATATTTTGGGCACACATCTTTACGTAGATAGTAGTGCAAAAATGTTTTTTTTTTTTTTTTTTTTGTTGGTTTTTTTTTTTTTTTTTAACTTACCCCTTTTACTGCCACCACTGCAACTAATACAGCAGATATGTTAAAGATTGTAAATAACCTCACAGCTGCAATGGTAGCCATTGAGCTTGTTTACAATTTGACAGTTGATTTTTCTCTTTTAGGCCTCATTCATACCATGTGCAGAGACATGAGTTTTTCTGCACGCATTCTGCAAAGGCACAAAGAAAACAGTTGTCTCTGTGTCCTATTCACACCATAACACTAGTATCATTATTATACAGGATTTATATACGTAGCGCCAACAGTTTGCACAGTGCTTTACAAAATGAAGGTAGACATTACAGTTACAATACAATTTGGTACAAGAGGAAATAGAGAGCCCAGCTCGTTAGAGCTTACAATCTAGGAGGAAGGGTTGTGTGATACAAAAGGTAATTGCCGTGGGGGGATGAGCTGATGGAGAAAATAAATGGCAGTTTACTAGGTAGAAGCAGGATAGGCTTCTTTAAAGAGAAAGGTTATCAGGGATCGTCTGAAGGTGGAGAGATTAGAAGACAGCCGGACAGATTGGAGTAGGGAGTTCCATAGGATGGGAGAAGCTCGGGAGAAGTCTTGGAGGCAAGCATGAGAGGTGGTGACATGGGAACTAGAGAGCAGAAGGTCTTGGGAGGATCGAAGAGAGCGGTTTGGATGGTATTTTGAGACCAGGTTGGTGATGTAGCTGGGGGCAGAGTTGTTGATGGCATTGTAAGTTGTTTGTATTTTTAATTTTATTCGTTGGGGTAGTGGAAGCCAGTGGAGGGATTGGCGCATGATTTGGACAGGGATTGGATGTGGGCCTGAAAGGATATTTCAGAAATCAGGGTTACACCTAGCAGCCTGGCATTCAGGGATGGGTTGATAGTGGTGCTATTGATCCTGAAATTATGAGAAATGGTTTTGGATAGAGTTGAGTTTTAGATTGAGTTTTAGGAAGTGGTGTGACATCCAGTCTGATTTGTCTCTGATATGTTGTTAGTAAATCGTTAATACGTGAGGGAAATTGAGGTGGTGAGCTGAGGAGTAGAGAGGTAGATTTGTGTGTCATCAGCATAGACATGGTATTGGAAACCATGGGAAGCTATCAGCTGACCCAAGGAAGAAGTGTAGATCGAGATTAGGAGAGGTCCAAGGACAGAACCTTGGGGGACCCCGACAGTGAGAGGAGTAGGAGAGGAGAAAGTATAGTTGTAAGTGACACTGAAGGTGCGGTGAGATAGGTAAGATTTGAACCAACGGAGAGTACAGTCACCAAGACCAAGTAAATAGAGTTTTTTTGAGGAGGAGGGGGTGGCCAACTGTGTCAAAGGCAGCACAGAGGTCCTAGAGCAAGAGTACGGAATAGTGACCATTGGTTTTCGCGGTTAGTAAGTCGTTTGTGAGTTTTAGGAGAGCAGTTTCTGTGGAGTGTTGTGGGTGAAATCCAGACTGAAGGGGAACGAGAAGGTTATTCTCAATAAGGTGGCAGCTCAGCTGGTGTAGACTAGACATTCAAGGAGTTTGGAGGCAAAAGGGAGTAAGCAGATGGGTCTTAGGTTGCTAAGATTGCTGGGTTCAGTGAGGCCTTTTTAAGTATGGGGGCGACTAGCACATGTTTTAGAGAGTTGGGGAAGATGCCAGTAGAAAGGGAGAGACTGACGATACGAGTTAAAGAGTGAAGAATAGAGCCAGAGGATGACCGAAGTATTTGCAAGGGAACAGGGTCCAGGGGGCAGGTGGTTAGGTAGGCTTTAGAAACGTTTACCAACCTCCTCTATAGTAGCTGGGTTAACCAAGGGAAGTATAGATTGTGCAGGTAGACAAGGAGTGTAGGGTGAGGGAGATATCTGTACAGTAGAGATCTCGTCACTAATTGTATCAATCTTATTTTTGAAGTGATTAGCGATCTCCTGGGCAGTGAGTGAGTTAGCGGCTGGAGGTAAAGGATGAAGTAGAGTTAAATGGAGAAAAGAGTTGATGATGGGATTGCGTGAGAGGGTGTTAATGAGAGTGATAAAATAGGTCTGTTTGGCAGTGTGAATTGCCAGAATTGTATTTTTGAAAGGCAGATTTATATTGATTGAAGTCTTGCTGGGGCTTAGTCGTATGCCATAAACGCTCAAGAGCATGGCTACATTTTTTGAGGCATCTGGTATTGTCTTTGGGCCAGGGCTGTAGCGGTTAGGGCCTAGGTCTGTGTGTAGTGAGGGGGGCCAATGTGTCCACAGTGGATGACAGTGAACTGTTGTAGACAGAAGTGGCCAGGTTGGGACAGGACAGGGCTGAGATTTTGTCATAGAGACAATCTGTTGCCGAAAAAAAAGAAAGAAGGGTTAAGATAACGAAGGTTTCTACCGGTAACTGGTAGTTGGAAGCCAAGGAGAGAGTGAGGCTAATAACGGAGTGATCAAAGATCGAAAAAAGAGAGCAAAATATCAGAGTTGGTGAAAGGTTGCAAAGAGTGCAAAGTCAGGAATGGATCCTTGCCAATAGTGAAGTGGGACTCACCTGCCTTGTGGGCTGCAGTACCAGGGCTGGCCAGCGGGTGGCTCTCAACAACCAGAGGTTCACTTCGGCAATTAGCCATCACCTGGGGCTGATTGCAGGTGGTGTATTTAAGGGATGGCAGACCTGCAGTCTGTGCCTTGGTGTGTGTTTTTCCATGGGCCCCTGTATCTTGTAACCTGCATTCCTGTTCCTGTTTCTGCCTGACTTGTTGCCGACCCTGCCTAATCCTGACTTCTGCTGACTTTATCCTGTTTGATCCCTGGCTTGTGACCCTGACCATCTCTCTGCCTGACCCCCTGTACCTACCTGTCCGTTAGTTGCTGTACCCGGCTCGTGACCTGACTCTCTCCGCCTGCTCCTCCTGTACCTACCTGCCCGATGTGTAGAGGGGCCAATGTATCCATGCCTGCCTGGCTACGTTGTGCTCTATATGTGTATGTACCTGTGTATCTATATCAGTTTAGGTTTGGGTTTGTTTTACCTTGTTGTATGAATTTGTGTTAGCTTGGTGTTTGGTGCACTGCGTTTATATTTGTATTGTTAGTCTTAATAAATTGTCTTATTTATACCATATCTGAAGCCTGCGTTTCCCTGTGTCAGTCCACACACTTCTGGTCACACCCGCATCCCTGACAAGTGCATAGGTAGGAGAATACAAGGTTGAGGCAGTTCCCATTAGAGTGAGTAGAAGCATGTGTCCATTGTTTTAGTCAATAGAAGTGGTTAGGCTCAGAAGTTTAGAGGTAGCAGGAGTTTTAAGATAAGCAGGGATGTTTAAGTCACCAAGAATGATTGTGGGAATTTGAGAAGAGAAAAAGTAAGGCAGCCAGGCAGAGAAGTCAACAAGGAAGCGTGATACCGGTTCAGGAGGCTGATAGATCACAGCAATTCTTAAAGAAATTGGAGAGAATAGACGTATACAGTGAACTTCAAATGAGGAGAGGGAGGTCCTGAAAAGTGCTTTGAGGGGATAGGAGGATTCCAACTCCACCTCCTTTTCCATCCACTAGACCTGTAAGAGTGAGTCCAGAGGAGACCACCATGGGAAAGGGCAGCAGGAGAGGGAAAGTCAGATTCATGAAGCCAGGTTTCCTTGCCATCTGGCCGCTGTATATAAACGGCCAGACGGTGGCAGTCCAGGGGCGGGTTGCCATTCGCCTCCGGACACAGTGGAACACCGATCGTCGTACAGGACACCATGGTGACACTGTACTGCTAGGGTGGCAGTATGTAAAAAAAAAAAACAACTAAAAAAAAATGTTTTAAAATTATAATTTTTGGTTATAAACTAATTTGGGTTATTTTTTTTTACTAAAAAGATAACTGAATAAATTTTGGCCAAGATTTATGATGAAATATTATTTATTTGCAAAACACTTTTTTCGTGACATTTTTGGACTTTATCATTTATATAGCAAAATAAAAAAAAAATCCCAGTGGTAAATATATACCACCAAAATAAAGCTTTATCTTTCTCAAAAAAAAATGCTAAAAAATTCATATGTGTACAGTTTTGCATGACCGCACAATTGTCATTCAAAGTGTGATAGCGCTGAAAGCTGAAAATTGGCCCTTGAAAGGAAGGGGGTGAAAGTGTCCGGACATGAAGTGGTTAATAAATACATATGTGTCTGCACATGGTGTGAACGAGCCTATGCAAGTCAAATCTGCATTTTTTCCGTCAGTTTTTATGCATGCATGTTGGTTACTTCTACTTGCCAGAATCGTGCAGCTCAAACAATCCCCTGCATGTTATATCTAGTCAGATTTTAAAATCACTGTGAGGGGAATTTCTCAAAACTGGAGCAGTTGTGCACAGCAACCAATCGGCTTCTCTCTTTCATTTTCAAAGCTTTACTGGGAGCAGACATAATCTGGAGAAGCTGTGTATGGCAGTTTTGATAAATTCCCTCCTGTAATTTTAAAGTACCTGTAACCCCCAACTGAATGACGTTTAGTGGTCTATTTATAATGGCTGTCGTTCCCAAACAACGTATTTTGTTATTATATGTAAAATAGGATTATGCAAAGTTGGAAACACTGGAACTTGTGGTTATTCTCTGTTTTGTAGATTACTGTTTTTTATTTATTTACTTTTAGTTAAAGCGTACATTCTCCGATGTAAATGAAAGCCAGATTATTTCACTACTAAATATATTGCATAAATTACTCAAAAAAAAATACAGTTTACAAATGTACTCTAGAACTTGGAGTCAGGCAGTGTTTGCAGGGCTACAAATCCCATGCGCCATGGCGACTAGAAATTGACTCCTGGCGCCTGGCCTTTTGTCAGCCTATTCACTGTTGGCTCCAGGCGTGTGATTCTGCACTTTTGGTAAGGGACATAAGCATGTCAACCCACCCGGTTGCGGTCTATCTGGCTCCATTACAGTCTGATAACTGGTTTCTGGCCAATGATTCATGACCGGGACCCAGCGATCATCAGGGCGAGTGACAGGAGACAGGTGTGTGTTGTAACAACACTGATCTCTCTGCTGACAGTGAGGATATGCACATCCCTTAGTAAAACAATACATAGTGCAGTTACATTACACTCCCTAGGCACACAGTTAACCCTTTGATTGACCCAGATGAGCTTTGACAGCTAGTGGGGTATCTTCTCTCCTGCTGCTAGCTGTTAAATAAAAAAAACTTGGCAGTGCGGGTTGCCCCTGTCCTGCCCAGTCCTCTGTGTATGAGAAACTACAAGGTTCTTGGAATAGTAGAAAAGAAGGAGCGCCTGACGTCCACAAGAATGCACTTTTGATGGTATATGAGGAGACAGTTATTGAGAGTAATGACAAGTACATCAAGCCAATGCGTTTCAGGAGAAAAAGTTTTTCTGCCCTAAACAGATTGCAGAGCAGGACGGAAACAGCAAGATAAGGATAAGTGTTTTATCTTGGTCAAAGCACCATGAAAAAACACAATCCAATATTCTTTCTTTTTCACAGTAGAGCCCATAGGAACAAGGAATGAGGAGAGAGCATCTCCTGTGACTGAACCTTCTGTGCAATCAGAGGAGAAAATATATAACCGATGGGGAATTTTTCCCATTTAATAGCATGCAACAACAGCCCTTAAGAAAGGAGAGTTTTTTTCTCCTGAAATAGTTGGCTTGATGTACTCGGCGTTACTCTCAATAAATGCCTCCTAATCTACCATCAAAAGTGCATTGTTTTGGACGTCGGTTGCTCCTTCTTTTCTACTATACCAAGTATACGTATGGAAACGACCTCAGAAAGGCAGCAGCCCAGACCTTAAGAGAGTTTACCTCCAATATCCACCATTGGGTACAACTGACTGGAGGGGCCTCTCCCTACCCACCCATGCAACCACCCACCTACAACCAGTGACTGATCCAGTCAGTCCATCACAGTCTTCAGCACAGACAAGAATCTACAAGGCTTGTAGTTCTCAATAAAATACCACGGCGCTATGGAGCGCCGTGGTAGTTCATTGATTCTTCCTGTCAGTGTATCTGCTTGCCCTTACATCCAAGCAGATATACTGACAGATCTGCAGGAGACCTGCATGGCACCAGCGATCTGCTGTTCACTGATGCAATAGTTTTCAGGCTCCTGCAACCAAAAATAATAAATACACTTTTTTTTTTTACCTGCAAAAAAATGTGCATTTATTATTTTTGGTAAAAAGGTGAACTTATCCTTTAAAGGATAAGCTCACCTTTGGAACATGTTACATGTTACATGTTCCACCCGTGTTCAGGGGTTCCCATAGCCGCAGCTGTTGTGGAGCGCCTTGGTAGTTCATTGAAGCTTCCTGTCAGAATATCTGCTTGGCCTTACATCCCATACAGCAAGAAGATATTCTGACAAGTCTGCAGGAGACCTGCATAGCATCAGTGATCTACTGATCGCTGTTGCAATGCTTTTTAGGCTCCTTTGGACAAAAATAATGATTGCACATTTTTTTACCTACAAAAAAATGTGCATTTATTATTTTTGTCCAAAAAGTGAATTTATCATTTAACCCCTTTCTACCCACTGTTATTAGTACAGTGGCGGTGCATTTTATCAGCACTGATCATTGTATTAGTGTCTCTAGTGGTGTCAGAATGTCCGGTTTGCTATCACAGTACTGCTAAAAGTCACTGATAGCCGCCATTACTAGTATATAAAAAACTATTCCACAGCTGCCATTACTAATATATAAAAAAAAATTCCAGTATACAGTATATACCGTCATTTGTAGATGCTATAAGTTTCATGCAAACCAATTAATATACACTTATTGGGATTTTTTACCAAAGACATGTAGCAGAATACATTTTGGCCTAAATTTATGAAGAAATTTAATTTTTTAAATGTTTTTATGTGATACATGTTATAGCAAAAGGTAAAAAATATTGTTTTTTTTCATTTAATTTGTGTACAATGTTGCATGACCGTGTATTTGTCAAAGTAGCTCATTGTATAGCAAAAAATTGCCTGCTCACGAAGGGAGGTAAATCTTCCGGAGGTCAAGTGGATAACATATAAAAACTAAAGTTTTTTTTTTTCTTTCACGTACTGTCACTTCTATAATTCTCTGCCCGTTCCTACAGTAAATCTGCTGCTGCTGGGCGTAAAGGCTCTTCAACACCCTCTTTCCATCGGCATCAGCCAATCCATGCGCATTGTTGTTTTAAAGCTTTGTTAGTTAAAAACTGGCTCCTAACGTTTTTAGCTGGCTCCTAGATTCAAAGCAAATTTGTCAAGCTCCATTGTAAAGTCTATCTTGCTTTAGTAAACAGCGAAGATTTTTTTTTCTGCTAGCAACTACATCTACAAATCATTAGGAAAGTTACGTTAAAAGGTTATAGTGAATCTTACATTCTCTACAGATTTTTTTGTAAATTGCTAGTTAAATTACAGAAGGAGCTGATGTACATTTTATGTGCTGTAGCAATGTTTCCTTCAACACGTTAATTTACTGTGTTTATAATCAATCAAATAGGCAATTCTTCAGGGGCCCAGCCTGCTTCACTTGGAAGGGCTGAGAATGGAACACCTGGTAGAGGTAATTGTCTTTAATATCAATTCAAGTATTTGTTGTAATTTGTAAACTTTATTATGTATTTAACATTCATTTTTTTGCAGGCACCAACACTACATTTCAGTCACCAAATAAGAACTACAAACCCACTACTGCAGCACACAATGTTGCTAATGTCAGTCAACCGGTTGCACCTATGTATCAGCCTGTTACTAGACCAGCAATTAGTTCTGCCATTGTTCAACCACTACCAAGACCTGTTGGCATGCAAGAACCAGTAAGGAGACCTATTGGCGGAGGACTTCCTTTTCAGCAGCCACCCAGACCAGTTATGCAGCCTATTTGCAGGCCGTTGGCATTCACGCCAAACAGTCCACCAGTTTGTCGAAACATCACATTTCCTACTGTGTCACAACAGCCGCTTCGACCTGTTGCCACCATCCCTGCACAGCCTGTAATGTTAAACCAGGTATATGTCTGTTGTGCTTGCAAGCTGTATTGTCCAATGGTCAATTCATATTTGAAGATATACTATATGCAGTTAAATTATTTGAAAGCTTATTGATCTTTTTTGTATTTTAGGGTTATATTATGACCTCCTCCACAGGTTTCTGCTAATAACTCTCATAACGTAATGTATGCTTTGCGGCCAAGTACAACATTAACTCAATATCAAGGTGTGCAGACGCTTACCGCAACAGGTATGTGTAGGGGATATCTCTGTGTGTGTGTGTCTGTGTATGTATGTGTGTGTTGAGCATTGGGGTCTTAGCTAATTAACCACTTCAAGTCCAGACACTTTCACCCCCTTCCTGTCCAGGCCAATTTTCAGCTTTCAGTGCTATCACACTTTGAATGACAATTGCGCGGTCATGCAACACTGTAACCATTTTAATGTTTTAGCTTTTTTTTTTTGAGACAAATAAAACTTAATTTTGGTGGTATTTATTCACCACTGGGATTATTATTTTTTTGCTACGTAAGTTAAAAAGTCCAAAAATTTTGAAGTGTTTTTCTTATAAACTTTTGCAAATAAATAATCTTTCTTCATAAATCTTGCCCAAAATGTATTCATCTATCTTTTTAGTAAAAAAAAAAAATAACCCAAATTATTTTTTAACCAAAAATTATAATTTTTCAAACATTTTTAATAAATTTTTTATATTATTATTTATGTATTTTTTTTACATACTGTCACCCCAGCAGTACAGTGTCACCATAGTGACACTGTACTACTTGTGGGGGGTGATGAAGATTTATTTATTTTTTATTACACTGATTGCTTTTACACCCATAAAGGCTGTAAAAGCAATCATTTCTCCTTCCCTCTGGCTGCATTCTTGCAGCCATTGAGAAATACTGTGAGAGCTGTGATTGGTCACAGCTTGTCACATGGTACAAGGCTGTTGTGAATAGCCTTGTACCATGTGACCTCGGTGATCATAGATATCACACGTAGTAAGCAATGATGTCAGGAAGTGACATCTTGCTTACTACTATTCATTTGATCACTGATTGGCCAATCAGTGATCACATTTTTCGGGACCTCACACAGAGGTCCCAAACAGCGATCAGTGTTCCTCTGTGTCCGGAGGACACAGCAGGCACTGGATCACAGTGCCGCGCGCTCCTAGGGAGCGCGCACAAGTTGGGAAGCGGGGAGGCGTTTATAAACGGCCACCTGCTCCTGCAATGCTCCCATCCGGCCGTTTATATACATGGGCCGGACAGGAAGTGGTTAAAAAAGGTGAATGGTATATGAAGAAAGATGTGAAAACCCTGATTGCATTCAGTTCCTGTGCCTGCTGTGCTTGGGCAAAGTGATCGTTAAAAAGCATGCAAGTACTCTTTGTGGTTTAGAGGGATTTCTCATTGAGTATTATAGTTGAGGATCAGTCCTTTTAGGGTCTGGTCACCTATGGTAGCAGTAGAATCTTCTACATACTGGCCCTAAATGTGGTCTCAGCTCTGTCTTTGCAGGGACGAGAGTAACCAAAATGGACAGAGAGCTGTAAACCACAGGCTTTGTAAATTGATTGCTTCATTCATTGTGTGCATTGTACTGCTTGGAAAGATGATGAAGAATCTTTGTGACCAATGAACAATTGTTCGGTTCTTCATTGAAAAATGACTGATATCTCTGGAACATGCACGGGCGATCTGCCTCGGCAAGAAAAGTTGTGCAGAGTCTTTTACCTTCATTTGTCTGGTGTGTGAATGCTCATTTGGCATTTGGTTTGTTTGTCAAAGTAAACTGTCTCAAGAAATATTGAAGTTGCTGCTGCTGACCTTTCCTTTTGCACTTTCCCTGGTTGTCATACTGATGACAAAGAATAAGGAATTTGCCTTTTTTGACTTTCATTTGCTGCGTGCTTGTTCTAAGCCTGTAACTCAGAGTCCACATATTTCAACCCTTTAAAGGGCGGGTTCACCTTATTAGCCAGAAAACCCCCCATTTATTCCAGCTTCCCCAGCACATTACATTCCACTCCTCCACTGTTCAGTTAGTTGGTAGCGCCCCCTCTGTACATGTAGGCTGTGTGCAGCCTGTCAAAAAAAAAACACCTTAGTAACTGCCCCCTCTCAGCAGCAGAACAGCCGAGCTTTAGATGTGCTCCCCCCTCGGTCACTCCAGTGCATTCGATACCTGCACATATGCAGTGCATTCTTTCAGCTGCTGCTGTGATAGAAGGAGCTTACAGTTTGAACAATGCAGAGCAGCCACAAGGGTGTATATCTAATGTCCTGCTCATCCTGTGAGGGAGGAGGATCAGCTGATTTTTTTTTTAGACAGGCTGTGCGTGGCCTACATGTATAGGGGGGGACAGGAGCAACTGTTTGAAAATCTGAAGATTCTGGAATGCATGGGGGAAATGTTGGGAAAATGGCCATTAAAGATGATATATACATGTATGGTATTTAGGCAAAGGTTAAATCTCCTACCAGATATTCTACTATATGTGTCCTGGAACTGAACCTTCCTATCCTTTACAGCCAAGGAACCCTATCATCTTAGCCTCCTGGCAGTTCGGTTGAGAGCACAAACGACAGTGACAGTTATCATTCACAGCATGCCTTAAAGTGGTTGTAAAACCTTCCATAAACCCAGTGAAGTGACTGGCCTCAGGTGATACATAGAGATTAAACAAATCCTCCTACATAAGTTGTACCTGTTTATCTACAGTCTTCTCTTGTCTACATCTGTTCAAAGTGCAGAATTTACCCAGAATCTCTCAGCTCTGAAAGCAGTGAAGAGAGCTCTTAGAGCTGATTGGAGGGAAGGGACACCCCCCCCTCTACACAGCACACAGGAACAGAGCTAAGTTAGCACTTCTGCCTGGCAGCACTGGGGTCACCAGTTCAAATCCCAACCATGGCACTACCTGCCTTGAGTTTGCATGTTCTCCCTGTGCCCACGTGGGTTTCCTCAAGGTAATCCGGTTTCCTCCCACACTCCAAAAGACAGGATGGTAGGTTAATTGGTTCTTGTCTAAATTGGCCCTAGTATGTGTATGTATGAATGTGAGTTAGGGATCTTAGATTGTAATCTCCATGAGGGTTAGGGACTGAATGTGCTATAGAGATAGATAGATAGATTAGATAGAATTTGCTGTGTAAATTGACAGAGTAATATAAGTACCTGAAATAAATAAGTAAGGCTATCGGTCACAGGCTATGTTCTCCCCTGTCACCATTTTTCTCTTGGTGTCAGAAAAACTCATCAGAAGTGATTCATGCTGATAGCAGAGGAACGAAGCATGCTTTGTTCATATTTCACGTCAGAGGTTTACAACCACTTTGAATGAAACGGTTTTGGGAAATCTTTAAATTAATGGATTTAGTTCTGCTGTATATATTTTACATTTTTTTTTAAACTGGGATTTAGAGCTCTAATTGTTGAAAAGTGTCAGTTGATGAAAAACAGGAGCAGTTAATAGTTGGTCAAAATAAAATGCCACTTAATGTTACACCGTAAAGTTATTAAATGTTTTTTTTCCTTTTCTTGTAGCATAGTTAAAAGATTCTTATCTAAATAAATCCTGTTGGATGGCTGTGGTTCAGGAATAAATATACACAGAGCATTCCAAACTTACCATATTGATATATGTATTTCCCTTTTTGTTGATGGTAAAAACTAGTGTGTTGTGTTTGTTACAGGAAATGCTACTCCGTTAATTCGACCACTACAACCCTTACACCAAATCCGCCCAGTTTCTACACCAGCAAGGACAGCACCCACTTTTATTCATAGGTCTCCTCCTCCTACCCCATCGATGTCGCAAAACAACCTAATACCAGTACTTCAACAACCTTTACTGCAGAACTCACAGAAAACCCAACAAACTATCCTTACACAAAGCTCCTCAGGTATAAGAATGCCTTCCACATCTTGAAAGGATGTACCGTAAATTGAAGAATTTTAACACTTCCCCATAACTGCTGGAGAGATTGGCTAAGCAGCGGTGACACACATAAGATATGACACATACAAATGTGGGGTAATTGGCTGTAAATATGGGATAGTGTCATGCATGTGACAAGGTGGTCCTTCCTTGAAAGTTCTGTGCAAGAAACAAACCTCTTTTTTTTTTTTTTTTCTTTTTTTAAAGCAAACATAGGTCGAAATGAAAATACACCAGTTGATAAACGACCGGCGGCTACTATTGATCTCACAGATGATGCACCTAAAAAGCAAAAAACCAACGAAAATATAGCAGATAGTAGGCCAGTTGGAGCTTCTCCCACAGTATCTATGTCTATGTCTGGGAGACAATCACAAGCAACTCCATTGCAGGATACACCCACAAAAGGTAAATACATATTTCATTATTTATTTTATATATATATATATATATATATATATATATATATATATTTATTAGAATATGAAAACATTCACTAGATCTCTCGATTAATTTTTTTTTTTTTTCCTCCAAAAAAAAAGCTAACGTGGGTCCCGGTTCAGGAACAACTCCAACAAAAAATGGAATGCCTTTTCCTCGAGCTTGTCCAAAATGCAATATTCACTTCAACCTTTTGGAACCGATGAAGAACCATATGAGGGTAATGAAGTCTAATAATGTATTGTTGTAAAGGTGCAGTTTACAAGAATGTAAAAGATAATGTGATCCCAAGTGGTAAGCCAGCTCACAAGAACTAAGGAGCGCCACAGGCTCTCATGAAAATGTCCACTAAGCTCTGCCATTCATAGAAGCCAAACTACAGCGTCTATGAAAAAAAGTGATATATGAATAAAGGACAGGGCAGATGATTGACAAATCTGCCCCCCTTCAGTCATATATCTTGTTTTATTCATAGAAGTTGTAGTGTGGCTTCTATGGGTGGAAAGTGCAGGCATAGTTGGGCTCTCTTGATGAGAGCCTGTGACAGCCCCCTAGTTTTGTTCAACTTTGCCGCATTGGAAGATGTGGCGGGGGGTATAGGCGGAGATGGATGTCTGCTAACAGAAGAGGCATCAGCACAAGGGACACCTCCTGCTGACTGTAAGTTATGTCCCTTGTGCTGTTTATTTTATTTTTTTTTTTGGCTGCACCTAGGCTTCATTGAGAAGAAAAGTCTGATTATAGAGCAGTACAAATCCAGATGAAAGCATAACCAGTTATTGTTCGAGTGTGTTGGAAACAAAAATAAAATAGTATGTGGCATACTTGTGAAACAATAACTTGTATAATTTTTTGAAACTTCTATAGCTCCTTCCACATTTTATAGTGAGTAATTAATGTTTAGTATCTCACCTGATGATAATGACTGTACTTTGCATAAGTAGAGCAATAAAACTTGGCATAAAGCAAACATCAGAAAGTATCATTTTTATTCATGTAATTTTATGACAAGAATTCTCTTCTTTCTTGATTACAGTATTGTTGTCCAGAAAGGATGCAACATTTTTTCCCCAGAGTAGGAAATGTAGAACTTTCAAGACCACAAAATACAGTGGAGGAGAGTGACAGAGGAAAACTAATAATGCTGGTCAGTGACTTTTATTATGGAAAGCATGCTGGGGACCCTCTGCTGGTGCAACAAGACCAGAAGACCAACACAACCTTCAAATGTTTCAGCTGTCAAAAAGTTCTCAAAAAAACAATATAAGGTATGTAAGCATTTTGAAAAATGGTGTTACCATATAATAGCATGCTTTTTAACAGTGCTAGAGAAATGTATATTTTTACATTCATTGAAATTTAAATGAGGTTTTAATTTTGTCTCTGCAAGGATATGCCCAGTTTTCCCCTGAAACTCTGACCTTTTTTTTTTTTTAAAAAAACTCACTTGCTGCTATATTTTTACAGCAGAAGAGTTGCCCTGTGATCTGAGAGGTTACTGGGAGAATGTCCTCACTAATCATCCTGTTACCTTTTTCCCGAAAGCTATAAATCAGTATGGTGGGTGAGGGACATTTGTATTTTTAGATATGAAAGCATTAAGTGATATTTTGTGGTGTGGGATTCTTCAGCATATACATTACAAAGCTATGGTTTTGCTACTTTATTACAATAAAGTAGTTTTACTGTAAAGCAAGATTAAATAAGCCACACTCTGAATATCCTGTTCTTGGTTAGTGCTGTGTGTCATGAACTGCTGTATCACGTTTAATAAATCCTCTTCAAACAGCACAACACCAGGATCAAGTCGCCTACTCTTCAATATACTATTAGATTAATTATGTTGTATCCCGGTATTCAGCATTATTGTCTTAGGGGATACACATGAATAATTGTTGTATTTTTGCCTGTGGTAAAGGCTGCTATTAGATGTTGCTTTGATTGAATGACTTCTAGTTTCCAGATCAGCAAAAAAGGAAATGTGGATCTTCTTTATTAGGCACAATAGTTTGTTTAAGGACCTTTGCCTGGCAGCGAAGGTCATGGTACTTCCACATAAGAACCTGAAGGAGAAGCTGAAATAGCAGAATGTGAAGCTGAAAAATGGTTCAAGTCTGCAAAGGGCATCGTTTGCAAGTTGAAATGAACAGACTTGTCTTGCTTCAAATCATTAAGGAAAACAAAGCCTGTTGTAATTGCGGGCTTTAAAATCACTATTACATACACTTACAATCAAAGATGCAGGTTGAAGCCCGGGCAGTTTTTCTTGTAAACAGCAGGAAACTAATGTATGTAGTCAGGAACTGTCATTCTTGAAAATGTGTTGCTGTTAGACTTGTTCTTGCTGAAATAATATTTAATAAGTGAAAGCAGATACATTTTAATAACAGAATTTGTATGTATAAACCTTTTATTCTAGTTTACTTTGTCTGTTTAGGCAGATGTGGAAATTGTTTTCTTTTTTTTTATATGACAGATCAAGAATTAAAGTGTATCTAAATATACAAACAGACACCTAATATATTGAAGCTTCGATATGGTGGGTGCATTAGTTTTCTTTTTCGGGCTCTTTTATTTTCTTTTTTGCTTGGCTATCCTGCAAATAACAAACTTCTGTCCCTTCGGCATGACCTTGGAGTCCTACAAGTGTGAATGGAGCCTAAGGCTCGTTTCACACAGACGTTCCGTTTGTCCGTTTTTCATCCATCTGTCTATTTACATCAGTTTTTGTCCGCTTCTGTTCAGGCAGGTTTTTCAAACGGAGCAAGACTGCATTTTTGTTCCTTTAACCGCCTCCCGCTCGCCATATAGTAATATGACGGACGCAAGGTGGTTCTCTCGTTCTGGGAGGACGTCATATGACGTCCTCCCATTCTAACTGCGCATGCGCGGCTCCCGGAGCGCGCGGCGATCGGCGGTGCTCTGTGTCCCTCGGACACAGCGGATCACCGATCCACGGAAAGAGCCGAAGATTTCGGCTCGGTCATGTGATCAGCTGTGTCCAATCACAGCTGATTACATGTAAACAGGGAAATGCCGGTTATCGGCATTTCTCTCCCCATGAGCTGTCACGCTGACAGCTCGTGAGGAGAGGAGAGCCGGTAATCACCATTCCTCGGAGGGGACATGTACACTGATCATCAGAGCACTGATGATCAGTGTGCCCTGATGATCTGTGTAGCCCCAGCAGTGCCACCTGTCAGTGTCCATCAGTGCCAGCTTTCAGTGCTCATCCATGCCACCTGCCAGTGCCCATCAGTGCCGCATTTCAGTGCCACATCAATGCCACATATCAGTGCCCATCTGAGCTGCCTTTCAGTGTCACCCGTCAGTGCCACCTATCAATGCCAGTCAGTGCCATCTATCAGTGCTGCCAATCAGTGCCAGTCTGTGCCACCTATCAGTGTCCGTCAGTGCCGCCTAACAGTGCCAATCAGTGCCGCCTATCAGTGCCATATATGAGTGCTGCCTATCAGTGCCCATCAGTGATGCCTGTCAATGCCCATCAGTGCCACCTATCAGTGTCCATCAGTGCAACCTATCAGTGCCCATCACTGCAGCCTCATTAGCGCACATCAGTGAATGAGAAAAATCACTTATTTACAAAATTTTATAACAAAAACTAAGAAAAAACTTTTTTTTTTTTCAAAAATTTTCTGTGGTTTTTGGTTTGTTTAAGAAAAAATAAAAAACGCAGAGGTGATTAAATACCACCAAAATAAAGCTCTATCTGTCACAAAAAAAATGCTAAAAATTGACAAAAATGACCCAAAAAAAAATAGTGTTGCATGACTGCGCAATTGTCATTCAAAGTGCAACAGCGCTGAAAGCTGGAAATTGGCCTGGGCAGGAAGGGGGTATAAGTGCCCTGTAGGCTAGTGGTTAAAAAACGGAACGCAAGAAAAAAACAGATGAAACTGACGAAAAATCTTTTTGCATTGGTATTGGATAAGAAAAACTGATGAGAAACTGTTGTAAACTGATGAAAAACTGATCCGCTTTTCTTTTAAAAAACTGATGAACAAAAATGGAAACGCACGTGTGAAAAGACCCTCAGGCTCCTTTCACATGAGTGTTGTTTGTCCATTTTTTCACCCATCCGTAGATGGAAAAAACGGATGATCACCCATTTACATCCGCATTCATCAACATCCATTTTTTGATTAAAGCCCTATTTTTGTTCTGTCAAAAAACGGAGCTGATGAAAAACGGATGTAAATGGACAAACGGTCTGGTGTTTGCAGTGGTAGTGGATGTAAAAAAGACTGATGGAAAAACTGATAAAAAACTGATCCGTCTTTGAAAAAAACGTGACTGAACTGATAAAAAAAAAAGAATATCCATGCGAAAGGACATGCTTTCATCTCTTGGACAGATCTTGAATACCAAGGAAGCCCCAGATTGTAGTAAATCCTGACAGGTGTTGTAACCCTTCCCCACTCAAACTAAACAAAGTTTTGGCTGGACATAACCTTTATTGCTCAACAGCCTAGTAGTGTAAATGCTCAGGTAATCCAAAAGGCATTTTCAGCAGGAAGGGGCTGGTTCTGTCACTTTGTAGCTAAAATTAACTACACTCTATTTGGATATCAAGTTAAAACATGTTGATGCTGGATTAAAAGTAAATTGTTTGTATGTTTGCACAGTCTTCTTGGTGAAATGCCCACACTAAATGGCTGTGGGCCAAATAGTTATTTATCTTTCCTGAATCATTGTGCTTTATTTGTATGCTAGAAATTAGGAGGTCTACATAGTAAGATTATTGACTTTTTCTGTGCTTAGATGATTCTTAGTTGTAGAAAGTTTCCAAAATACTGGAACATCTATGTGAACCTTGCTGAGTATTTTAGTCTCAGGAGTGGTCTCACTTTTTTTCCTTCATTAACCCCTTGATGCCGACGTCACACAAATATGCGGCTTCACAGAACTGGGATTTTTTTCAGAGGAGCTGCATATTTGCGTACCTGTCTTTGTGCTGGTAGTGCGCCGAACAGCGCACTCCCAGCACAAAGACCGGGGTGTCACTGAGAGCCCCGGGTCCCATTATCACGATCAGAACCCGGGACTTCAGATTCCAGGTCACATGATCACTGTGACAGTCTCTGATTGCCTATCACAGTAATCAGTCACTGTGTAGCCCGCTTCCTTTGTTTTTTTTCTCTCTGAATGGAGGAGAAAAATACATTGTCTGTCTCTCTCTCTCTCTCCTTGCAGACTTGCAGAGGGGGAAAAAAAACCAAACAACTGATTGTAAAAAAAAAAGAAAAAGAAAAGATAAATAAATTAAATATTAGAAAATAAAAGAAAAAAAATAAAGAAAAAAAATATCTAGATCAAGGTTTGATCTAGTTCAGGGTTAGTATTTGGGTCAAGGACAAAGGTCAGGTTTTGTTTTGTGTTTAGGTAAAAAAACAAAAGGAGCACTATTGTTTCTGGGCTGTACTACAAGTCCAAACAACAAATAACATACACATATATGGTATCACTGCGATCGTCAAGAACTGGAAAATTTATTTTGGGTTGTTCTTTGATGGTAGGTTATGGTAGTAACAAGAAACACACAGCAAAATGTTTTTTTTTTTTTTTTTAACTATTTTGGGCCAGTTTTCCTTTGATAATAAAAAAAAAAATCAGGCGATATCCATTGCTATTTACCACCAAATGAAAGCCCAAGTTTGTCCTGAAAAAAAAACAAGGTATAATTCACCTGGATGTACAAAGTAGTTGTGATGATATGTATGCTTTTACTAACACATGTCAAAGTTGCAAAATTGTGCTTAGGCGTTAAGATTTGTTTTACTCTTAGGTGTGAAGGAGTTAATAGAGGCAGTTAGAATTTGTAATGATCAGTTGAATAGCTTTAGGCTGCATTCACATTTGAGTGATTTGTAGCTTGAAGAAGCTCCAAAAACGCTCAAACTTAAAAAAATCGTTTGTTCTCTATGGTGGCTGTTTGCACGATCATGTGTGAGCAGGCACCATAGAGACCAATTGATTTTTTTTAAGTTTGAGCGTTTTTGAAGCTTCAAACTACATATCTCTCAAGTGTGAACGCAGCCTTAGAAATGTGTTTGGATGGCTTATCTTCTGTCACATAAATGGGAAGGGGGGGGGGGGGTAGATTTAGTAAAACTGCCACAGACAGCATATGGAGCAGCTGCACATAGTAACCAATCTGCTTTTAGCTTGTTCGATTAGGATTTAAAGATTAAAGTGAGAAGCTGGTTGGTTGCTTTGCACAGCTGCTCCATATTCTGGTTGATGCAGT